TCAGAGTCAGCCACGCCCCCCTAAAACGGCTCGTTCTAACACTCCCCCACATATCTACGTCACGATGTGGGAGGATTTGCATAACGCCGCCCAAATGTTCACGCAAAGAAAGAAGGCGTAACTTTTATTCTCGCTGTTGCCGCTGCCGCCATGCCGTGAAGGCGCTGTGTGCTTCGTTGTGAAAGCGAAACTACTTTGTTTGGTCTTCCAAAAGAGGACGATATCTGCTTCAATCACAACGCACTGGATAGCTGGCCAATCAGAGCACACCTCGCTTTTTCAGACCGATGAGCTTTGTAAAAATCGACGCTTTTCAGAAAGGTGGGGCATAGAGGAGAAACAATAATGTACAGTATGTGGAAAATAATGTGTTTTTTTAACCTTAAACCGCATAAACACATTTCATTACACCAAATACACCAAATAATGTTCTTTTTAGCAACATCATATGACCCCTTTAAACTGACAGTAATCAAAAAAGCCCATGGACAGGTTATTGCTGACAGGATACGACATTCGGTAAGGCAAGCGCAAAAAATAATGAATTATAGCTATTATATATTGTAATATGCCATGAAGAAGTCTATGCTATGTCATTCATTCTAGTAGTTAAATTTTCACGAAGTCATGCTAAAAACGTTCATAAGAGCGCTATCATAAGAGTTATTATAGCACAATTCTTTAACACCCCCCCACCACAAATTTTAATACAAAATGTATGCTTATACAGCTAAACGCATCTCTGTGTGGACAGGGCCTAAGTTTCTTACCACAGTAAAGTGACTTTTACTTGTGAGACTTGACTGTTGTGTTTCTATTTTCATTGCCTCACCTTAAACCCTTTTTTCTCGCAATTCCATTCCTGAACATTATAGCTATCAGCCAAATTCGGATAGCAATAACATTTGTTATGTTCAAGCTATGGACAAAATAAAAACAGTTTTGGAAAGGGCTGGTATCATCTAAAAAAGCTAAAAATTTCTCCATGTGGTAAAATTTCTCCATGTGGTGGGTTTTCCTAGATCACAATTGTACATATAAGGATCAAACTAAATTTGTGTGTGAAGATGTCCCTGAACCTCCAAAAGCCGATGACCCTTGTAATGATTTTACTGATCACTTACCTGAAGAGAAGAGTCTGTTTGTGAGCAGCACAATTTCATGTTCTTTATGTCTTTTGTTCTGTCTTCTTCATACTCTTCAGATTTTGGTTTCAATAGCCTGGAGCTGATCCGTGCTGGTCGCTGAGGAAATACTACAATTTTACGCTGTCGATCGCCGGATCGGCTTTCACCGTGGACGAAGAGTCCAGCCCGGAGTCGTCACATATCCTTCCGGATGCTCCTTCGTCGCAATCGCCGGCCGCACCGTTCTCAAGCCCGCGCCTCACTCTAACCTTCCCGCCATTCCTCACTTTATCCCCCAACCTCTGCTCACTCAAGGCCATGGTGTGTGACGCTGTTTCGTTGTGAAAGCGAAACTACTTTGTTTGGCCTTCCAAAAATGGACACGACTAGAAACCAGTGATTAAGTTGTATTTACAACACTGTTCCAGAACACTTCAACCCAAATATTCGGATGTGTGCAGCACATTTTATGGAGGACTGTTTCCTGGGAGAGTAGACTACAATGCCGGCTGTTCTGACTCACAGACTGTAAGTACGTCTTTTATATTTAAAGGGTTTTTATTTAAAGCAAGTTTTTTGGGCAGTGTAGAGTAGTGCTTGTTGTTTGTCATTTCTCCGATCACAAATGCAGACATGGTTTTATGTTTACGCGGCGCGATGCAACGCGTAAAAAGACAGTATAAGTCATTATAATACATAATTATGTCCCCACTGGATGCTACAAATGCCTCGTTTATAATGGGTTTTCATGTTTTTGAATCATCGCTCCGGCCGGGAAAGGGCATCACAGTATGGTGAGGGCGTAACATTTCCGTCTCACTCTTGAGGTATTCGGCCAATCACAACGCACTGGATAGCTGGCCAATCACAGCACACCTCGCTC